CAGAGAGAGAGAGAGAGAGCGAGAGAGAGAGAGAGAGAGAGAGAGAGAGAGAGAGAGAGAGAGAGAGACCTATTGAAGTTTTCTTTTATAAACATTTCATTAAATTGCTTTCTTTTTTTACTTCTATTTATTTTATAATTATTAAGAGATGAATTACATGTGCAATTATTAGATATTTCACGGAGGGCACAGGAACAGTGTCTGAGTTGACTTAGTTCAGACACAGTTAAGGTGCCATGAAAAGGAAAAAAATATTTTCAACAAGTAAAGAGAGAGAGAGAGAGAGAGAGAGAGACCTATTGAAGTTTTCTTTTATAAACATTTCATTAAATTGCTTTCTTTTTTTACTTCTATTTATTTTATAATTATTAAGAGATGAATTACATGTGCAATTATTAGATATTTCACGGAGGGCACAGGAACAGTGTCTGAGTTGACTTAGTTCAGACACAGTTAAGGTGCCATGAAAAGGAAAAAAATATTTTCAACAAGTAAAAAGAGAAAACTTAATAGGTATTTTATGTGGCAAAATGGAGACCAAAACTAGTAAAATATTTACTGATTGAGACCAATTATATTTTTGCAGGAAATGCTCAGAATATGGTTGGGCCCAAGACAGCCGGCTTATACTTTAGGGTTGTGCGCCCCCCAGACCCTCCCTGACTTTCCTCGGATTTTCTCTTTTTCATTTCACAGCCCTGATAGCCTTCAGAGAGATTTTAAAGTCTTCATTTTGCTGTAAAGGATGTAGGCTGTTTTTTTTTAAAGCTTTGCATTCACCTTTTAGAAATTAAAAAGTAAGGATCATCACAATCTCTTCTGAAATCAACCCGATTATTTAGAATTAAAAAAAACATACGAATTTGACACCATAAAATTTGTGTTTGTTCTGTGTTTCAGAAAATGTTTGCAGTCCCAAGGCTAAGAAGAGTTGCCTATGAAGAAGAGTGAGGAATTAATGCCTATTGATGACCTCAATGGCATTTACATCTGGAAAAGACTTCAGATGATTTAAAATCTCTGATATCTCAGTATGCTGCTGTATAAAAGAAATTGCTGTCATAAAGCCTTGAAATCCAAATTATTTGAGGGAAAAAAACTTGGACAACACAAGTGAATATGTTACACCAAAAACTCAAAACAAATGTTCTTTTCATCAGCTGAGCTTGATTGAAAAAAATACTGCACGGACATCTTGTAATTAATAAAAATAATGTGGTTATATCAAATGCTGGAATTAAATGGGTTTTCAACTTATGTCGTTTTATGGTGTGTTTGTTTTCGATGGTGCACTTAGCTCACAGAACTTTTAAACCCACTCAGCCTAAAAATACCTTTAAGACAAAACTGATGAAGAGTAGTCCACACGATATGAATCAAAAGACCACCATTTTGAATTTCATTTGTATACTGGAGGTCGTGTGTTAAAAAGAAAATCTGCTTCACCATCATTGTACCCAGTCTCCTTGAAATTACCAGCTATTCTGAGAATTCATTTAAAAACTGCTCAGGGATCAGACATTGTGCAGGATTCGAACTAAAATTGGGCATATGTTGAACAGCTGAAGATGGCGTAACGATAAAAATCAGACCGATCAAGCCGTGTGCACACACACCTGTATGACATGTTCCCTTAATTAGACTTGCATTTGGGAAAGTTTGCATGTGGATCCCATCCTAATTAACCATATATGGTCAATTTGAAGCAGGAAAATTAGAAGAAATTAGCCATGAGTAATACCGAGGTTGCATGAGGTGTCAATCATGACAACGGCCTCAAAAATGAGTAGGAAGCGAAACATCAGCGAGGTAGGGGAAAAGAAGGGTCTGTTAGTTCTTTGGTGGGTTTGGGAGTAACACGTCCACATCCAACAAACTTCAATATCAGCAAGTTGCAGGAGGCCACTGCTGCTGTGAACGATTTGTGGCTCAGCACAGAGTACCATTGACAGAATGAAAAAAAAAAAAAAAATGGGTCTACCTAAAAATGGACACCAAAAGAATTGTGGCCCATCGCCCAAATGTTGTTGTTCATGTTGCAAGAGTACACATGGGATCACGCACGGAAACATGCACATTCTTTGAGAAACACCCGTGTCTGGCATGTCGCAGAAGGAGGGAGACACAAAATGAACCTGGTAAAGTAGTAATTTTATCTTTAATTGGATTAAATAAAGAGTGAGGGGAAATTTTCATTTGGCTCCTTTGGATTTACTTAATTCCCGCATGTACTGTACATCGGTTGCGGATGATTAAAATGTGCTAAACATGCCATTTGAATATTTTTGGAGAAAAATGAGAAAACATCGTCAGTTGAGCTTGTTTTACAGTTTTTCTCAAATGCTAAAACACATTTCACAAAAGTTCCCTCCATGTTCCCCAATGTCACAACACCCTTTTCTAAAGCTACATAAACACAAACACAGCTCACTTCAAAACTCAAGCTTTCAAAAATGTAAACACGATACACATCATTGAACACTACAGCAAAACAATTGAAAACACAATGGTCAATTTGTGAGAAGGTTCTTTGTTTCATAACTGCCAATGCATATTTTTAGAACCTTTACAGTAGCAGATCTTAATATCTCTGTAGATTTCTGAGTTTCCTACGACGAGTAAAAATCGATAGAAAATACTGCATGTACACTACTATAACAACTCAAAACTGAAAACATGTTGAGGGTGTGATTTTTATTTTTTTTATTTTATTTTATTTTTTTAACTTTATTCGCACCACAATCACTGTGCGGCATCATGTCGCTGAGCTGCACCGGGCCACATCACCTCATCCACATCGCAGGCTATATTCTCTCTTGCCAGGCACCACACAAAAAACGCTCTGGAATGGCGAATCCATCCTTGGAAGGGATCCATTGGGATGTCAACACAGGCCACCTCCATTGCCCTTTGGAGCTTCTCTCCAGTGTATGGTTGTCTGTCAAAAACCTTCCATCTCCACAATGAGAAGAACTCCTCTCTCGGGTTCAGGAAAGAGAAGTAGGGATGCAGACACACATTTAAAAACTGATTACTGTTGGTGGTGAACCGCTGTCTGATTTGGTTTGTTCTGTGGAAGTGGACATTGTCCCAAATGATCACATAAATGGGATTTACGGGCCCAGGAGGGTGTCTCTTAGCTCCTCTAGGAAGGTGAGGAGCAATAGGGTGTTGTAAGACCCAAGGACAGCATGAGTGGACAAGCCCCTCCAAACCCATGGCCGCACCAAGAGTAAAATTACCCCCCGTTGGCCAGGAACCTCAGTAATACCTCTTTGGCTAATGATGTTACCATCGTTTCTGCAAGTTGAAGCCAACCCCATCCAGGAAGAGGTACTCATGATATCTGGCCATCGTGTCCAACTGTTATATCCTCTATGAAAATGTGAAAGCACTCATGTGTTCAGAACAATAGGTCATTCCGGGAGCACAGTATTGTCCAGAAGTAATGTAGGCCACTAAGCAACACAGTATGTCCACTCACTGTACTGTGAATACAATAATAATAATAATAATAAAAATACATTTTATTTATAAGCGCCTTTCAAGACACCCACGAACTATCCTCATTTTGAGGATAATTTGAGTTAGGCAAAAAACTCCTGCACAAGCATGTGACAGTTACAACAGGTCACAAGACATAAACAATGAAGACGGTGATACAAGGGAGTGTATGAGGGAGGGGGTGATGGTGGGGGACTAGCTTCCGTGCATACTTTCATCAGGGGAAGGTCGAGATAGCAGATGTTGTTTTGGTAGCAGGCTGCCCAAGAATTTAAGACAGCCTTGAGTCCGTGGCTTATGTCTCTTTAGTGGTGTCGATCAGCCAAATCCGTGATTTCTGTCAGTATTTGAGCACGGATTCCAGTTTCTCCAAGTTCTTGACCATTTTGCAGAGACGCTCCAAAACCGCAACAGTTTATGGTTGAGCACAGTCTGAGTCTGAGTGTTGGACATCCGCACTATGCCATCCTTAGACCGGCAGCCTCTTCACTTCCAATAGAGCCGCTCCCGTCAGTTGAATTTTGCGATCAGGAAACTGCTAACACCAAACAGCAGCATACCTGTTATCGGAAGGCCGATAATGTAGATGTCATCCACATCCTCAACGGACAGTGTTGACAGGCACACCATTCTCTGCTTCCTCCAAGGATCTAGGGTGTACCCAGCAGCAAAAGTCCCCGAGGGGCAAGTAGGCTTCCCACTGCCTGCTCTTCTCATCGAGAAAATTTTGTCAATGGCATCGAGAGACCAGCCAACCAATTCCATGTTTGTTTTTAGGATGAAAATACGACAGGAGGCTAGGAAAAGTCAGACAAAGACAGCACATGGACTGAGTGGCGAGCAGGGAAGGGTGGGGGTGGGGTGGGGGGACAGGAGCAGAAAGCAAAAGCATCCGCCTTCGTCGAGAGCCAAGCAAGAAGCATAATAGTAATATAGATGTATACCTACTTGCACATACTCGTCACGTAGGTCTTTGTGTTGCTCAGAGTTGAGCACAAAGGGAACACGAAAGACCTGTTTCATCCGGATGAAACAGATCTTTTGACGCTGGAGAAATCGGCCTATTGTGGCCAAGCTGACATCAATGCCCTCAAATTTGACATGATCAGCAATTACTTTGTTTGTGATCTCCCGGAGTCTGATGAGGTTGTTCTCATGAACTATATCCACAATGAGGGTTTCTTGTGCCGCTGTAAATAGGGCAACCCTCCTTCCTCGATGTGGCATTCTTTCAACTCTAAAGAAAGAAACGTGTGTTGTCATTTGACATGTTTGACAACAATAACTGATTTGAAACCAATAGAGTACTTTCACAGGCTTATAAAACTGTACTGCGGCAAAGAAAGCAATAGAGTACAACACTGCTACTGGTCGCTTTACAATGGTTCAATGATTTTCTGCACCAACTGTACAACTGTTATAGTATTGTATTCCACCATTGATCACTTAATTCGGCTTGATACTTTGCACATTGTCTCACAGTTGTCATTGGGTGGTACCACCGCACAATGGTTCACATACATTATGGAATGTCCTTCCATACTTATTTGTCATGTCCTTGTTTATGATGATACTAGTGCAGCGTATACTACCAGAGACAAATTCCTTGTGTGGTCTACATACTTGGCCAATAAAGATGATTCTGATTCTGATAGTGACCTGTTATGTTGTCTGAATGCCGTGAAAATAATGGATTCTCAGTCAGCCATTGTCATGCCATGGACAATGACATGGCCAATGACTATTGCTCGCATCTCGCTCGTATTGATGACTGTGGCAAGCATTTTGCATCACATGAGCTGTCATTTGAGAATATGAGCAGAGTTCTTTTGCAGCTTGTGTTTTAGCAAGGAAAAATGTGTTTGGATTTATGAGAACCGAGGATAGTGTTTTGTGAATTGTGTCATGTGAAATGTGTTTATGATGTCGGTAAATGGTGGCTAGATTTAGTAAATGTGTTTCGACAACTGGTCATTTGGTTTAGAGGATTGGATTTTGTTTTAGCATTTGAAGACTGTCATGTGCAACTAAAAGTTCCATAGTCTGTGTCCTTAATTCCTTTCTTCCTCCAGAGATGGAAGGGGCTGGCATTGATATCTGCGATGAGCGCTCAGAGGAAACCATAGAGGGACCGTAACCCCCCCGCAAACACACACACACACACAGACACACACACACACACACGCACACACACACTCACACACATGCACATACAACCCAATCCACGCCACTTCTCACCATGGGGTTCTCACCGAGGCCATCCTGCAGGAAAAAAAGGGACAGAATCTCTGCAATCAACATCGTCTTGGAGCAACTCAGACTGATTGCAGAAGTAATGTGCGACATTGCAAATTCATGAAAATAGCTTTTGTGTTGGGGATGGTGCTGTGGGCCTTGGTCCTCAAACAGCGGAGAAGGGTTGGCAGGAGAAAGAGTAATGCCAGCCTTGAGTGCCATGTTGTGGAGCGTTCCACACAAATTTAGATTCAGCTTCTCAGCCTTCACACACACGCGCGCACACACACACACACACACACACACACACGCACACACATTTACATATACAGTGATCCCTCGCTCTAACGCGGTTCACTGTTTCACGGATTTTTTAGTGCACTTTTTTTAATGCTTTTAAACAGTGAATTGCGTTCTGCATCCTGATTGGCTCAGGCACTGACCAACATGAACAGTCTCCGCACCTCTTCTCTGTACAGCTTGCCAAATTTACCTTTGCAAATTTTTGGTCTTTGGTTTCATTGTATCAGTGGCGAATGCTGGTCTGTCAAGGAGTGAAAGCTCAATTTCGACCTACATCATAAAATGTGTCCGTCTATTTGTACGTGAATTCTACTCTGTTCCTTTTCAAAAAAAATGAGAAGGTTGCCTTCACCATAAGATCGGTGATTGGCTCATTTCGCTGTCAATCAAAAAGAGATTCAGCCTCAGACAGATCATCCAATCATCATGCAGAAAAGCTCAGCGTCCGGGCCAGCCCACAAACGCCCACTGTCCATAGACTCCCAGAGACGCTGAGCGTCCGATGGGCGGGACAAAACCAGCATTTATCCAATGACTCGTCTCGTTTCAATGCATTGGGACAACCTACACTGAACTCTCCAGACGCCCAGCGTCCGCGTGGTCGACGCTCAACATCCACACAGTTGAAAGTACAGTGAAGCTGCGGGAATGAATGAGAAGAGAGTCGCGTCGTAACCAGTAATAAGAAGCTCATTCAGAACAAAAGTTGAGCGCATTGTAGCGCATATTTAGTCAATGACATGTCCACACAATTGTACCGACACACATTTATTTCATCACTTACTTTTTGACATTTTAGGGGAAGCTGAGCTTCCCTTGCAGTCTTAGAGCAATCGCCTCTGCATTGTATACATTGTTCAGTACTGTATTGTATAATAACTGTAAAAAATAAAGCTATAAAGTACCAAGTACAACTTTATTGTCAAATGTGCTGTATGTAAAAGCACATTTGAAATTTCGTCCCTCTCACATTTTTTTGCTTTTTTTTTTTTTTTTTTTATAAATCCTACTTCACGGATTTCACTTATCACTGGTTATTTTTGGAGCGTAACCCCCGCGATAAACGAGGGATTACTGTACATGTAAGGTGGCCCGACGACCTCACGGTACAGAGGTACCGGGTTCAATTCCAGCTCCGGCTTCCCTGTGTGGAGTTTGCATGTTCTCCCCGGGCCTGCGTGGATTCCGGGTACTCCGGTTTCCTCCCATATTCCAAAACACATGCATGGCAGGCTGATTGAACACTCTAAATTGTCCCGAGTGTGTGTGTGAGCGTTGATGGTTGTTCGTCTCTGTGTGCCGGTTTCGGGTGTCCCCCGCCTACTGCCCGAAGACGGCTTGGATAGGCTCCAGCACCCCCCGCAACCCTTGTGAGGATAAACGGTTTGGAAAATGGATGTGTGATACACACCACACACACAGTGGCCTTGAAGTATGTGAATTACCAGTTGCAATGAAACCAGACAGGAGTCTTGTTTTTTCTTTTAAATGCAGCTTTCTTTTTGTTGACAGTTGTTGGCTTTTCTGTTGTCTCATGACTGAGTCTTTCCTCGTGATTCTTGGTTTTTACTCTTTTACGCTTGTTTACTTGCCTGTCGATTGCACAGTGCTGCGAAGAGGCACAGACGCAATTACATCATTTCCAAAATAAAACTATTGGAGGAGTTGATGATGGTGTAGTGCAGAGGTGGCCATGCGGCTCTTTGGCTGATTCAATGCGGCTCCCGGGCTTTCACATGACAAGCATCAAAAACGCCTTGGTGGTGGCCCTGCCATTCAAACATCAACGCTCAGTACCGTAGGCCTTACGATGTCAGCCTATCATCAATCCCGTAACTTGATTAACATACAGGGCAACCAGACAGATGACAACTGAATTTTGACCTTTATGTCATGTGCAAATAACGGCGCTAAGCGCTAAGATAGTGAGCGAATTACCTCAGATTTTAAGGCAGGGCTGCCCAATATATCGATCGTGATCGACCGTGAGTCAGCGGACTGGTCCGAAGTCGACCACGAGGGGTGGGAGGAAGAAATTGGGGAGGGGGGAATTTGTGTGTCTGTGTGTTTCGGTATCGTTCATTTGAGGGGCCGTTCCGGCTGTTGCTCATCGTGGCTTGCGTGCGTGCATGCATATGCGCATGTGTGCATGGTTGCGTGCCCACATGCGTAAGCCTGTGTATATCAAGTCAAGTCAAGTACAAATTTATTGTCAAATGTGCTGCATGTGCAGCATACAGCACAGCACAGATGAAATTCTTCCCTCTCAAGACAACATGCAACAAGAGGAGCCGCTGCGGGTGCCCGCGCTGCCATCAAAATATGCATGCACATGCGCGATCGGGTCGATCGCGGGAGGTTGGTCGCTTCAAAGGTCGATCTTGATATATGTGGCAAGCTGACCCAAGTAGTAAGTAACCGCTACAACTTTTATGCAGATATTGGCTGCTTCGAGGGGCAACAACGGAATACAAGCCAGATTTGAAGAGGATTGTTCAAGAGAAGGAATGCCAGAAGTCCCTGCACTGAGGCGCCAAGCAACATGCATCGTAAGAGAAAATGTTATATTTTTGTTTGTGGACTTGAGACAATGCACACAATGTTTATTGTTGAAAATGATGGCCTGTGTGGCCTGTGGTCTTATGACTGTAGGAGTCATTATTATGTTGGTGTGTGACATTTACAATAAATCTGGCTGGGCTGAAGTCTCTCTTGTTTGTGCGTGCGTGCGTGTGTTTGTGTGCGTGTGTGTGTGAGAGTGAGGAAGGGATGCGGTGATGTTTATGTGTGCCCATGTGTATGATGTAGGTTTTTGCAGTAACACAGTAAAAAAAAAAAAAAATGGCTCTTAGTTTCTGACTGGTTGGCCACCCCTGGTGTAGTGGTACCCTCGTCTGTCTTGTGAGCTGGCGGCTTGGGATTGGATGTATGCCCTGCAGTTGACTGGCGACCTCTTCAGGGTGTTGTCTGCCCTTCCACCCGACGTCAACTGTGATAGGCGACCCTGTTCAGCTTAAGGGGTGTTGAAAACGGATGCATGGAAAACTACTGAA